TAGTTGTAAATGAAACGTAATCGGACGTACAATAGAAATAAACTATACCAATGAATACAAACCACTATAGTGGTTTCTATAAATTGAATACCGAGCCATGGCTCAGTCCCCATGGACTCGTCAATAATGCTACAGTACAAGTCTAGTAACATACAATAACTACAAATATCAATCACAGATGATTCTTAACTTATAACGTAAAAATTCATAATCATAACCTTTTTTACATTTAATCTAATCTCTTGTTTCTACTAGATGGTGTTCGCAGAGGGGTACACAAAACTGAGTGCAGTTATCAGGGCATTATTTTACTTGGTCATTGGTCCTCACCATCAATCTATATATTTAATACGCTAAGCCGATTTTTGTGAACAGAAGAACTTCTAACTCATTTTTAAACCGATTTTAATGATTGAAGTGTCAGAAAAATTGCCCTAATATCTATTTTTGCAAAGTGGTTTTTAATGTTTTTAAGTTATTAGTAGTTTGAGCATAAGCTTCCATCAAAGTCGGGTTTTCTCCTATGAGGTTAACATGGGAGAATAAGATGTTTATAAATTGCGTCGGTTTTGTTTATGTTCGATAGTTCGATAGACAGTTTTAATAAAGCAACTGATCAAATTGAATAAGGTCAGACATATATATATATATATATAATTTATATATATATATATAATTTAAGTTAACATTGTAGCTTGAATAGAGTAAATGGAGTAAGCTTTTTTGTGTGAATGTAATATTTTTTGTATATTTTAATTTCATTATTTGGTAATGTTGTGTTTATTACGACCTAAACGTTTTTGGTAATATATTTACGTAGGCGTAAATGAAGAGAAGATCGTTGAGTTGCTCATTTCATATAAAATATTTAAAAATCAACATATGTCAAGTGGCACATCATTTTATAGGTTTTGTTTTAATTCTTAACCACTTTGTAATTTACACTTACTTCGTATCTCTATTTAGTTCTTTTTTGTGGGTTAACACTAAAGGCCCCATTTAATTTAGGGTTGAACCCAAATAAAATGCATTTGATTTAGGAAAATTAGGCTTTTTGGTTATTGACACAAAAACTAAAAGAGATAAGTAAGTGTAAATTACAAAGTGGTTAAGCATTAAAAAACCTATAAAATGATGTGTCACTTGACATATGATATTGCTATTTAAAATTTTTGAACAATGGGCGTTTGCAAATAAAAAAAAAATTATTTTTGGAAATTTCCATTATTTAAAAACCCGTTACGTGTAGCATACCACAGTTAAACTAATTTCATAACGAGTAAGAAAATTCAACCGGAGAATGGCTATGTGCATTGGTATAGGTAACACACAGAGTATCAAAAACATACTGATTTTTTATAATAAACCGCCACCTTTTTTAAACGGAAAAATGTAATTCATTTCTGTTTTCGCCAAAATGTTTGTCTATTAAATACATTTTAAATAACATAACACTAGAGGTCGTCCAGTGGTCGAAACTCGACCAAAAATATGTAACGTCCAGACTTCATTTTCACCCCACACTGTAAAATAAAACATGTGATTGGAGTTTCTTCCATTTTTGTTTTGATTTTCTGTTTATATTTTGTTGTTATTTCGTCACCAATAAAATCAATCTTAATTTTTTGTAAATTTAAAATTAATTGTTGTGCTTATTTTTGAGCCTATTTTAATTTATAAAGGGATTCTGCACATCTACAGGAAAATATCTTTCTTATATGCGTAGATTTTCCTGCGATACACACGAGCTGAGGAAAAAGGGTTTAAAGAAACATGCATACCTATACATATGTTTAAATCTGAAAATTCCAATATCCAAAATTCCAACTAGGGACCCTCAGTTTTTGGCACATCCTGTATCGGAAAAACGTTAAAAATATTTTTACGTTATTCCTTGGGGTCAATTTAGCGGGAAATAGTTTTATTTAATCCTTGTACGTTTAGCCGTTTTTCGTAATCAATTTGAGACACCTTACGTGGGACTGTATAAACCATGTTCAAACTGAAACTTACAATTAATTATGCAATAAAATAATACAAGATTAATAAAGCACGAGTATTAGAATAGAAACGGTTATTGACCCCAAACATAAAAAATGACGTTCGTAAACAGTAAACATGTTTGTATAATTATTTAAATGGAATTGTTCAAAAAGTTCAAACCAAATTGTAATGTTATTGATATAATGTTCGAGTCAGTGACGTCGTTTCTTTATGTTTAAAATCCATACTGTCTCTGTTCTAATATCCGCGATAATAACAATGATTCTATCAGCTTCTTTCCTGATGTTCTGCAATTAATTCAATAGCTGATGTTATGTGTTTGTTTATGTGTCAAATACTGCTTCCATAAGGATTACATTGGACATAATATAAGACTCCATGAGACGGATTCCTGGGAGATTTATTTAACGCCATAGTGATGTTGGAACTCACCAATATGGTCATCATCTCTATACATTTGAAATGATTGTTTCAGCCGTCTAAGAGTTTGCTTCGCTCGTTTCGTTCACTCAGCTCAATTATTTGCCTCACCTCTTTTAACAATTAAATGATAAAAAACATTGTTTCATATTTTTTGATTAGGATTCTAAGTCTGGCAAAACTGAAAAAAAATTCACCGTTTAGGCTCTTAACGAAATGTGGAGGTCAACGCTTGGGTTACGCCGTGTATCAATATTTTGCAGGGGAGGCTGAGTGCTCAACGTGACGTGAATCAAAACGACATACACGGGGATGAAAGGATCAAATATTACTTTCTGAAGTGTATGCTAGCTTGGATCATCCCATACAGGTAATTTATAAATGTAACGGTAACAATTAATTACTTTTTACGTATAATAGATCTCAAATTCTAACCGAGAGAGCATTGACAAATTCTTGCCTTTAATAAGTTTACTCTATAGAATAAGGACACAACGCAAAATTAAATTACATAGTTAAATGTTTGCACAGCAGATAAAATAAATATGATCAAAACAATATTATTTCTGCCAAAAGCACCAAACTGTTTGTCAAGTTGTCGCTGCAACATAATTATTGAAGATGTAGGTAAATAAACTGTGCACCAATATAAATGATTGTATTCAAGCAATGACAATTTGGGCTACATGGATTATTGTCGTTTGTTTTGTTTTTATACTACATTAAACCTTAGTTAAAGACTCGGCCATCTATATGAAGAGAAAATATTGTGATTTCTTAACAATCACAGTTTTTACTACTGGAATTACTATGTTAAACATAAGTGACCACTTAGTTAAACTATGGGAGAGAATTTCTTCATTTACAAACTTGACCTATGTATGTTATCTTTAAACTTCACGATTACGTAAAACACACACCGATCCAGTATATTTATCATATTAAAATATATTTCTTCTATTTCAATACAAACATTAACAATTTTATAAAATAAAAATGAACATAAATTGTAAAATAGTAATCCAGTATGAAAAAATGAATAATAACTGAAGTCGTCATCAACACTTTTTAAATTAACAAAGTCACAACAAATGTAAGTCGCAGAAGAAGTGAAATGTTTTCATTGGCAAGGTTGCCGTTGTATTGGCCATCAACTTTCGCCATTTCCGTCCGCTACTTGGACCTTTTGTCAGTGTAAACGTGGCAAATTGTCTCTCTTTGAGACTCAAACTTTAATGTTGATGAACAATTTAGCTTTCTGTTTTTAAAACTGAGGGTTTATTTGCATATTCGAAGCTGATACAGGTATGTTAAATTTCACCGTAGTTCGATTTATTATTTTACTTAGTAAGACCAACAAACAGTTATTATCAGAGCATATAAAAAATAATGCCATCCAATCAGATGCGTATGGCTTATAGTATTACATGTATGGAATTATACAATAAATACTAATTGTAGGCCCACTGGGGGTGTTCTTGACACAAAGATAAACGAACACTAATTTTATAAGTCTATCAACATATAAAGTTGGAAAAAATATATTTTATCAAGATTAATTTGCAAAATAGATGTAATTAAAGTTTGTAAAATAAATTTACTATTTGTCCCATTTTTAAAATATTTTTAATATAATAACCGTAAACACAGCAATGGATACAATGTTCACTGTAAAAAAGATGAATCCAATGTCTTAGTAAACCAATTAATTGCTTCCATTACAAACACAAGAAGTTTTATCTTAGACGACAGCATGACTGTTGTCTTCTAAAACCAACTTTACAGCATAACAAAAATTGTTTACAAGAAAATGTAACCGATCAGCCTCGTATACTCTCTGTTACTTCACGACCGAGTATGGCGCGTGGGTTCACCAAAGGGATCACTTGATGAAGGATGTTGTGCTTGCGCAACAGTGTTCCCGTTGAAAATCACGATAATGAAGTGTGAATATGTAGTTATTTTGTAAAAGCAAAGTATCCAAAGACTTGCAGAGCAATAAATTAGAAGAATTTGAATTTTGAAGCTAAACAATATTTTGTAATAATGATCTTTTTGTAAATAAACCATCATTCCATACAATTTTATACCAAGTTTTATAAGTATAGATATTAAATAGTGTTTGAGGAATAAATTTAAAACACAAACAAACCTGATATCTCACTAACAATGCATTTTTAGAAAACATACTTTTCTTGGTTTACGTTTTTTGACCCAATAAACATATTCACACACCCTGGACACCCTGGATAAACGGGCATTTGAAATCTTTGTAAGTCGTTCTAAAACTTAGGCTCCCAAGGACAATTGTCAACTAATTGTTTACAATTGCTGTTACCAATAAAAATATTGTATATATTATATGCGTGAAAATCGTTCTTTCAAATACCGCAGTGGATTCTTTAGACACAGATCGTCTAAGCTCATTCAAAAGTCAGGATGTCCTTGAATGAAATCGCGAAGGCATTGCGGCGTCGTGGTTTATAGAAATCGAAACGGTACCGAGACTGGATCTCTTTGGAATACCAAGCGACGGTATCCGGCCACTTTCGTGATTGGTGGGGTGTCGTATATAGCGGTCACCCTAGCCATCAGCTGACAGTGGTGGCCGCTCAGCTGTGAATTAGTGACAATACGATCAGCTGATCAACAGTCATGTTGAACTTCAAACTATGGATGACTGGTGCTGCTCTACTAGTGGTTGCCGCCGCTGCATACGCCCAGGTCGACCAGATACTTCCCGTACCTCACCAGGTGATCTTTGTCACAATTTTAAAATATGTGTGAAAACGTAATATTAAAGAAAATCGGGTATTAGTACCTGAAAATTAAGACTCTAGCCAACTAGATGTAAAATACAAAATGTAATAAGAATTCCGAACAATTATATGTATATTTCTAAATATTGATACCGGCAAATATCTTGTTAACATTTTCGAGCCTATAAAAACCTTGAGTGTAAAACTTGTGAGATTTCAATGGTATGTTCCAGGATGTAACTACATGTTGCAAATGGGATAAAAATCTGTAATTTAAAAAGATTTTAAAACGATACGAGGTGTTAACCCGTCCTACGTACGGGAATTCAGTAGTCAGTTAAAACCGTGTACAATTCAGATCAGCTAGTTTACACATATAAAAACAAAGTTTCTTGCAGTTTTAATGTGAAAAATCGTCTAAACAAATGTTGTGTGACCAAATATGTTTTTATTCCATCATAGGCCTATACGATATGCATTTTAAATCCGATAATTTAGAATAAAACAGCAATTCTGCAATTTTTACGAAGTGAAAAGCGTTGAAGTGAGATTTGCAGCCGATTCGCACAGACGCACACTGATTATATGTAGCCTACAGTAAAGAGATTAGTAGTCAATTTAGAAGTGTATAGACTTAGTCAACGATACCACCTTCCATAGCATACCTGCCTCTTTTATAATTATTATCACCAAAATACAACTACTATACACAATTTCCAGTAGGTCTGAATAGAAACGACCTAAAATAAAACTATAATATCCAATAAAATTCACAGTACACATAAATCGTCACACCTATCCTTTATATCAATTTCACTGCATTAATTGCTAAATAAATAAGTGTAAACAAAGAAAATTAAAAACAATAACAGTTTGTTTTGAAACAGATGTTTGGTTCAAATAACATTCATTTGAAAAAAAAGAACTCACGATTACTAAAAGAACTGGTCACATGTAGCAGGAATATAAAAAGTAAACACGCTAGTAAAGCTAATGACGTAATTGTCAATGTTTATTATCCATACCGTTATCAGTTCTATCCTTAATAATTGCCCACCCTCATTGAATAAGTGTACATCGTAATTTCCTATATTAGTTAATTTAAACTACAATATATTCATAGTTGAAATAAAAGTGATATTTTCACGTTTGGGGGCGCGCTGATAGGCACCCCCAAACGTAACCTCACTGAACGCGATTTCATAAAAGGATGGTTTGTCTAATCCTTGGTCAATGTTGACGTTGTGTTCAATCTTTGTATAAAACTCGGCTGAGGTTGTGGGGGTAATTTAAAATCGTGATTCCTGATTATTCTTGATCTTCTTTTTATGACATCAATATTTCCGGGCATAATCCAAACAAAGTTAAAGCAGACAAACATTAATTGTAAACAAAAAGCTACCATGAAGAATTAAAACATGTAAACATTGTTATTTTTCTATTCTAGTTAAATAATTTGCATTTATCCTTTTTTATTAAGACTCGTGTACAGAGCCTCGATTTGTACTGTGGTTTAATTAATTTTGGTCTAAACTATTTTAAACTGTGGTCTAATTCTCTACTAATCTTACTTATTTCCTATAATCAATGACAAAATAAGAGTAAATAAAATAACCTCATAGTTCCATAGTTTATATTCAAACAGCTGTTAAGTTAAAACAAATTATATTGATCTAAACAAATCAAAGATTACAAAGATTGCTTTAAAAAAATAATTTAAACATCCTAGTATTTTAATATGTATAATTTAATTAATCTGTCATCCTCTTACAGAAGAATTGAACGTATGTTTTATCTATGATTGAACGTATCAATGGTTTGCATTACACATAGTAGTATGTCTTTACATTTTTATCCAAATGCTGAATTTGTGACACAAAAGCTGAATGTTTACAGCTGTTATGTTAAGCAAATTATTTTATGCCAAAAGCTAGTTAAGAATCTTAGCGTCGGCTGCTAGACCTTTTAAAAATTAAAACTTGATTTCTAAAAAACTGGGACTCTAAACTAAAATTATGGCTTCGACATTCCCTAGTTCTCAAAATTATCTTTCTTTCAACTCAAAAATCATGAAAATCCGTCGAGTGGTTGATTCAGAATCGTGAAATAAAACAAACACTGTTTCGTTTTAATATTATAGATATCGGACTATTACCAATTATTAATTCACGTAACGACATGAAGACCTCATACACAGTGTGTATAAAAAGGTGTGGCATAATTTACTTAGTGGTTTCTTGGCTCAAAGTAAAGAGACAATCTGGAATAAAGCTTTTCCAAAACCGCTTCGTTAACCAGTTATCCACAATTTTGTAATGTTTACTTTATTTTTATTCTTCATTTTTGTGAAACTTGATATTTATGGTGAAGTAGAGGAGTTCCATGATAGAAAAAAGGTTACCTTGATTAAATTTAAAATTGCAAAATGGCGGCTATTATATTTGTAAAATTAAAATTACTACAGAATGGCTGGTTTTACGAAAACATTTCAAGAGTACTTCTATTTAGCATTTTAAATATCAACAACAACTAGTCCAAATAGATCTAAAAATAACGGAAATATCGCGATTTTTCATTGTAGAATGGGGTAGAAGTTAGGTCACCTCGTTAGTTAGGTTTACCTCGTTGTATAAAATTAAAAATCGTGATAGATAATTAAATGCTAAATAGATAAAAGTATCTTCATAAAATCAGCCATTCTACAGTAATTTGATTTAAAAAAATGAAAATGGCCACCATTTTGAAAAATCCAAAGATAAAAATGTTGATGTAAAAATACAAATTGGCGGATATCTTGTTATAGAAGCTTTTTGGGAAACAAATTTTATTCCTGATCTTCTTTTTATTTTGACCCGAGAAATCAGTTACACCCGACCTCTCCCATTAATAAGATTCTTCCAAATAAGATTTTAATTAGTTTAAATAACAAAATCGTGTTAACCTAACTACTCTAAGGTTAGGTTAGCTTAGGTTAAGTTGGATTAGGTTATAATTACTAGTTGTGGTTTCCTGGTCGTTATAATACGTAAGTATCCAATGGAAATTGCTGCGTTCTAGCAAATAGGAAAGAGGCTGTTTCCGTAGATGACACGGTAAGACCTATTACCGGAACTCATTTACTTTTTCAAAAAAGAAAGTAAATGAAGTTCTTTTTTTTGTGAAATAATCAAACTGTCGTAGTGCCACGTAAAATGATTGTGTTCCAGACGCAGTCCTCAGTCCCAGATGACACCGGACGAGCCGCCTCTGGTACTGCCGCGGACCTGCTGCAGAGTATATACTCGACATGTCTGGAGTCTGGGGATCTGTCATGCGCCAAACACAAAGTCCTGGCGTTCCTCAGCACGGCTACCAGTCAGGACAAGATCAGGATCAGCAGAGACCTGAGTATCGTCCGCAGTGACGTAGCTCCTCAGGATGAGGTAAGTGCTCTTCTATCATAGTGGGGATCGGGTATTGTTATATGGACGGATTAAGTAAGACAAGGGTCATAGAAGCTGTTATTATTTCATAACGAAAGCATATTTGTCAATTTATTGTTAAAAATAATTTATATGATGGCTTATCTATTTTTTAAATAAATATTTATCATTACTGATATTTAGTTACATTTGCAGAACTCCTTGAATGTCGAGGACTCCCAGATCGTGGACCCTGAACGTCGCAAGCTCGCCCTGCAGCTGGAGCGAGTGTCTAGGTTCCTGGAGTCCCACGAACTGCGAGTCAGACTTCCCAAGGAGATCATTAGACCTGAACTTCTCTCCTACGTGCCTCACTTCCTGCTGAAGAACCTCCCTCAGGAGATACGCGTACCTCTGGCAGACAACGCAGTCGAAGGTAGTGGAGTATACGTTTCTTAAGCTATGAAAATCTCGTGTGGGAACAAACATATGTTTCCTCATACCAAAAAGCATCTTAAACACTCTCATCATATCTAACTTATCATTAACTCAAGTTACTGATACATTTTCATAATCTGGACCAGCTGTAACAATTGATTTCTTTTAAACAGAATGCAGCGACTAACTGAGTGTGCCACAGTAAAAAATACTCTCTCCCAGCTCTCCACACTTAGAAGTAATGCTACATAAAGCATACTATGATTTACCGTTAGTTGTCCTGTCAGATCGGTATGGCTAAAATATCGGTGTGCGGGAAAGAAAATAGTAGTTGACAGTAATACAGCAATTATTGAATAGTTGTAGATTGAATTCAAATATAAAAAAAAAAAATTCTAATCTCACATTACTTTAGCATGACAATCGGATATCTACTTGGCAATAGATATTCTAGGCCAAATGTGAAAGGCATATTGAAATATTATAATTAAATTACCCATAAAGTTCAACAGCTTGCAGTTGTACAACATTGAGAAACTTTCACAATTTTTTGTAAAAAGTACATACGAGAGACGCTTTTAACGGGAATCTATAATTTTGTAAAATAAACCAGAACCTTATTTAAAAAAAAAATATCATAATACTTATCAAGTTCTAAATAAGTTAAACTGCATATAATTAGATATTGTCTGTGTTTAACATAGCCTAGTATCATCTTTATTGGTTTTAATTGAGCCTAAAAATATACAATACTATAATACGATCATACACAATTTATAACAATACGTACCTTATTTCAAGTAGTAACGTATTTGAATTTTATTTTGTTATTATTATTTTATTTTTAATTTTTTTTTTAGGTAAACAAACGCACTACTAATCAGTTAGACTTACAACGTAGTCTTGAATTAATAAAAACTTGCAAAATTAACGAGAAGACTTGCGTTATGCAGTTTAAGCTTATCATTTTGATGACTCAGTTAAGCCAAAACTTTACTGAGCTAAGCCGAAACTTCCTTAGGGTCTAATTAAATATTTAACAGACATCATTTGTTTGTAAGTACTTGTAATTTATTTTACACTTGTTCTTCGTCCCTAACTCTTCGTAGTTAACAAAGTTCAGAAGTTTGCAGCTCAGACAGTTTTCTTTTAGTTTTCAATTGCCTTTTTCTAACAAGACTTATTGCTCCACTGAATTCCGTTATTCAAGCTTTTAAAACAAGGCCTTTTAAAAATTAGAACTGTACACATTTACAACACTGTAACGATTTTCACGATGGCACCAGGAATTTTAGCTGATTATTTACTATATATTATAAAAAATATTGATAATGTATTAGACATTAAAAATCATTTCAAACAAAGGGTACTATGGTTCATTCTAATTAATTTAAATATATCGATCACATAATTATTGTATAAATTAATATAAATTATTATTCCACTTCCAAATAATGAGCGTGACATATATTATCCACGCATATACATTTAACAAGTTGATGATTTATGGTTGAATAACCTTCTTGAAAAGTAATCCAAGAAGTGATTGGTAAATGTATATGGTAAATGCACCCCCCCCCCCTATATATTTCCCCCTTTCCTAGGGCCTGAACATTTTCTTGCATAAAATTTTATTTTTGTAAGGTCGGAAATTGTGTTTTTAACAGTTTTTCCTAATCAAAATGGTACACAAGATCGGATTTGAAATTAGTAAAGTATACAAACAATTGTAAAAAAAGTGTTTTTTGGTTTTCTTTTGAGTCTTATGGCTTGAATAAAAAATCTAAAGCCTCTTCCTAATCGGCACATCCAGTCGCGTGTTTTTGATGCATAATATGTGGGGAGTAAGTTTTAAACCAAAATAGCCTCATAGGAACAAACTTTCCTTGTAGCGTATTAAATAACAATCGTAATAACTTGTAGATACATAGTAAAATCGAGGCTAATAAAAACGTACTTTTTATAAAAACTAATAATAGTGTAGAAATAGTTCTAGAAACAGTGTATTTAAGAATTCAACTAACCTATTATCAACCAAACATTTTATGCAGATGGACACCTCTTTTACTTGAATTGTTTCACCTCAATCCCTAGTTGTAAAATGATAGAAAATAATCCAATCTAACGTAAAATAATAAAAAATTAGATCTAAAACTACATGGGAACATAGAGAGAAAGATTGGGAGATTTGAGAAAGCTCTAGCTTTGTTAAATCTTACAGTATTCACATTTGGGGACGTTTAGTTGCAGAGCCAAGTAGATTACCGTTAAAAATTCAAACTAAAAAAAAAACACTAAATATTTTTTTCAATACTTTGTACATAATTTAGAGTAAAGTGAGAGTTGTTTTGCAGGTCGCAGCCGCGGAGGTATGCTGCGGAAGGTAATCATCCCCTTCCTACTAGGCATCAAGTTCAAGATCTCAACACTGCTGCCGCTTGCCTTAGCTCTGATCGCCCTCAAGACGTGGAAGGCACTCACCCTCGGCCTCCTGTCCATCGTCCTCTCCGCCGCCATGGTCATCTTCAAGATCACCAAGCCTAAGGTGCTCAACTACGAAGTGGTCCACCTCCCTCACCCCCACCCCGCACCTGTGGTGGAACACTATGAACACCACCACGGCTACGGCAGAGCCCTGGACGCTCAGCCCCTAGCCTACCGTGCCTACTTCAAACAGTGACCGATAAACCCTACCGAACCACACATTTGTATATAGTCGACACTTGAGAGAAATTGTATTTTTTTACTAATTTATTTTTATTTATTCTGTTGTAAATGTGAAATAAAATTTGATGATAATGTGTGCCTTGATTATTGTGAGATTCCTTCATCGTTAATGTTTGTTTATAAGAGGTAATTACTTAGAGAACTTTTTCCCTTAGTCCATCATCACTATTTATTTGTCTAGTCGTTCTTCATTGTTTTGTTTGCATGTCATAATATACCTCTCAAACCGATCAGGTAGGTTACTGATAATTTTAGTTTAGTTTGTTTAACAAAATACTTTATTTTTAGGCCTGAATACGCAGATGTAGTATGTAGGTACACAAACAAAACTTCTATTGTATCATATTGTGCAGTTTTAGAAACTGTTATTACTATCTATCTATATATTAATAGGCAAGCATGTTTCTTTAAAACCCTTTTTCTCAGCTCGTGTGCATCGCAGGGGAAATCTATGCATACTGTTAGAAAGATATTTGCCTGTAGATGTGCAGAATCCCTTTATAAATTAAAGTAGGCTAAAAAAAAGCACAAAAAACGAATTTGAAAACTTCAAAAAGTTTACATGGAACAACTGGGTTGCCATGATGGTGACGAAATAACAACCAAATGTAAACAGAAAATCAAAACAAATGGAAGAAATCCCAATCACATGTTTTATTTACAGTGTGGGGAGAAAATAGAGAAGTCTGTACATTAATTATTTTTGGTCGAGTTTCGACCACAGGACGACCACTAGTTATCATTAATATTTGCTCGGCCCGTGCTTCGCAACGGGGTAAAAAGACACCAGAAAATAATTTAGGCCTCTAAACCTGCTGTAAAAACACAGTTACACACACCATTACAAATTATACAGGCAAATCTCAAACGTACTTATAGCTTATTTTTATGAAAATCTCGTATCGTGTATTGTGTGGGAAGAATCAAAATCAGAAAAAAACAAAATCAAAACTAATAACTTTATATTTATCATCAGTAAACATCAGTAATGAGAATCAAAAGACAAACTCAGGTAAACAGTAAACAAACAAACTATAAATAAAACTATTTTAACACCTGATGCATCTTCATTATTCTAAATTTAATTAACTTTAATTGGGGAAGTTTAACATCAAGACCTTTCAATCAAGCATGCGGTTGATAGGTGTGCTTACGTTTTTACTGGAAATTTCGTAATCCTTATTGCCTTATTAGATTTATATGCACATTATTAATTTTACTACATTGCTTCAGTATAAATTCAATGATCTTATGTGTCTCTTTATAATTTTTTATAAGAACTCTTAATCAAATTACAAACTGGTATCATTAGTTGACAAGCTATAGTTATTTGTGCAACTAGTGAGAAAAGTGAGCAATTGACGCACTCGAGAGAAATCCTTACTCACGAGCCGTAGGCGAGTGAGGAATGGTTTCTCGAGTGAGGCAATTGTACTTTGAACTCGAGTTGCACATTATACTTTTCATACAGTTACCATAAAACAAATAAATTGGTGAAGAAACATAACCTATTTTTACACAGAAGTGAACTTTTAATATAACATTTAATGTGAAGTGACAAATACAACAGTACAACAGCTGACCAGCTGTTTACAGCCAGTGCTGCCAACGTATTTCGCGCGCATACGACGTTGCCTGCATGTTACGCGCTCACTATTTCGTGCCTTCACGTTGCAAATCTGGAGTGAGACAAAGTAATTAGAGTGAGACAATGTTAACATTGTCTCACTGATGAGCGAATTGGCCACTTTGCTTTCTCAAATCAGTGAGAGAACATGTACATTGTTAGGTAACTGTAAGAAAAAACATTTTTCATAATACTGCTGCAAAAACAGCCGTTTTCAATGCATGCATTGCGGTTATAAAGTAGCATTTTTATCCTCTAGGGAGTAAAATCAGCTGTTCTAAAAAGTTGTAAATTTCGATCGTGGCTATCGTATCGATCAAAATTTTTTATCGATTGATTTATTATGTAAGGTGTTAGCCTATTGTTGTTGATCCCTCGACTTATCGATAGTATAATGTATAATGTACTGTAACACAATCGTAATAGACGAAATGATTGAATCACTTACTAAAAAGCTGTTTATTTGCATTAGCAGAATTGAAAACAAGCTGGAAGTAGTTTTGAGAGGTTATTTTTACATAAAAATTATTTCGTTTTCTAGCTTAGTTTGTTAATTAATATGACGAATACAATATGACGAAATATGTAGTTCACCGCACGGGAATAAAGTGTCGTGTTAACCCTCGCTCATTTTCCGACCTCGGCTTCTCCTCGATCGTAAAACTTGACCACGGGCCAAAAAGAGTCGCTTTAAGCCCTAGTGATGAAATATACTATTATCCTATCTTTTAAAGGATACAAAAATGTTCTCATGGATAGAGAGCTCCACGGTCATATCGTGTAGAGATTGTATTCCGGCGACAATCACGTCAAAATCAATAATCCACTTCGGTTTACTTACGTGCTAGCCTCCATGATTAGTCGCACACCTGTTTAAGTGATGCACTGTTTACTAATTTGTCAACTATGTTAGTAAATGTATCATTTTACCTCACAATTGTAAAACCAATTCATTGTCAATAAACAATTTTTCATCCACCTTCTCAAAGCAGTATATTTATCAATATGGTAACTGAAGTAAGATACAGTACTACCAATGAATGCATTTTAAATCTGCATCGTAATTATTAATTTATATTATACCCATATAAATAGTATAGTTTATAATAGTAACAGTTTATAACAGTAACAGTAGTTTCATCGAAACTCGCATTTTAAGTTCTCCTAGTCTAATTATATGTCAATAAGTAATAACTACATTGAAATCAATCCAAATATTCCTCGGTTTGACGCTGAATTGTAGAAAATGTGATTTAATTACTGTTTACTAACGCTGTGATTGTTTAATTGAACCTTCCGTGGTAGAACATGAGAACAAACTTCAATAATTAGTTTTAGCGTGCCGCTTAGTTAGGGATAGTGTTTAAAAAAATCGATGTGTAGCCTTTAGTTAAACCAATATTTTTACCTACATTCAATCAAATCGGTCGATTCTTTCACGGACAACTATTATGCCTACTTAAACTAATAAGCACAAAAGAAAAACTACGGAACTAATCCAAATCCGGCTCATGATTGTAAAATAAATAAAAAATATTTTATTTAATTTAAAATAAAAAAATCCATAATCTACTGTTTGGTCCATCGTTCAAGGAGCTCAGGGATTTTTAAGGGGGTTTAAAATCAATGCTTGCAAAGTAATTCCTGGATAATTGGAAGCAAAGAAATTACGTTATCAAATACAGTATATATTATCCTAAACCAGCTTCATAGAAAGACGCTAAGAAATTTATTTTGTTCATAAATATAATATATTCGTGAACAAAATAAATGAAATAATAAATAAATAATAAATTGAAAATAAATAAACTAATAATAAATTGTATTGATAAATGAATCAATCAAGGTATAAAAGTAATAAACTTAAGTAATTTATAATGCAACAGACAAAAACTCTTGTTCTAAACAAAATGTTACATTCAAATGTAGTTAGCCTGAATAAACTTTTCCTCCTTATAAGAAGGTAAGAATACGTAATTTGTTGCAAGTTCAAACAGTTGAACTAGAGCGAAAAGCGTCAAGTAACTAAGAAGGAAACTTTTGAAATCAAATATCTGCTTCACTTTATGACAACGTTTGTTAGTTTGGTTCATTGCTGTTGAAGTTTTCCTGTTCTAGTCTGACAGGGGATATTGCTACATACGTGGTAAGGTCTGCTTGTTCATTTATCCCTTTGAAACTTGGATACTGATTTATTTTCAATTGATAATAAAAGATTATTTATATAATTGCCATTTACTTGTAGCAACAAATAACAATTGAATTGAATACAGGGCTTAAACAGTGTATTAAGAAAAGAAAATGAGATATTCCAAGAGTCCTCTTCTTCGTAGAACCTCAGTATAAATGGGCTCCAACTCCAGAGTCATGGCATAATTACTTAGCTGAAAGACATTGGTAGTTGGTAGTTGTGTAACGGTTAAATATTGAGTGTAGGACCGTTGCCGTTCGCAATTCAAATAGCGCGGGGTTGTAGTTCACCGAGCGGCCACGCACTGCACCAGCGTCGCGACCCCTATATAAGCAGCACGGGACGACAAGGGCTAATGACTTACTTGAGCGCTGGGCGAATAGCTAGCAACATCTCTCCCTGGTAAGTGGAGTGGAGTATACATCGCGAAACCTTAGGTCGAGGGCGGAATAGCCCGGTAATAACCAGTGGTGGAATAACCCTGGAAGCGTCGAATACTAGGGTTAGGCTGAGGGCGGAATAGCTCTCGGACCGCGAGACGATAGGTCGAGGGCGGAATAGCCCGGTAAATACACCAGTGGTGAAATAACCCTGGTAGCGTCGAAACCTAGGTGTTAGGCCGAGGGCGGAATAGCTCTCGGATCCGCGCATATCCGTCGCGAAGCCGTAGGTCGAGGCCAGTGGTGAAATAACTCTGGTGTCGTCGAATAGTAGGTGTTAGGCTGAGGGCGACAATCGAATCGGTTAATTGTAAGTATAATTGGTTTTAATTCTAAGAGTGAAACACGGTAAATCCATTAATTATAAGTTTTCATTTTATTTTCGAAGTTAATATTTTAGTTTTATTTTGACCAGTGTTTCACTTACGGAATTAACGCCAAATTACTAATTTGTTTAAATTAGGGCCTAACCCGGGCAGTGATGAATGTGTCATTCACTGAAAGCTGATGCTTTAACGACCATATCTGAGCCCATATTTTAAAACTTAACTATTATTATTACTACTAACCCTGGACTAACTCAATTAGTTTAGCTATCCGAGGCCGACAGTACAATTTTGTCCCAGGACGAAATTGCACCGTCACAGTTGGAAAAAAAAAATTAAATATAGACTGTCAGCCGTGCTGTTGCTACCATTGAGAGTACCAAGTAGAGACCATTCCATTACCATGGGCATACCATAGGCATATAAACATTCAATCCTTCAAACA